ACCAAAGGTTCTTTCTGTATGTCTGTTCGTCCATCCGTCTTTTTGACATGTTTTTGTTCTTATGACCCTTCATAAAGCTGCTCTCTAAGGCTCTGTGTATCTGATGTCTAGTTTTTATTTTCTGCCTGTCTACCTGTCTTATAGTCCATCTCATGGATCTTATTGAACTTCAGTGCTCCAGAGGAAGAAACTGGAGGTGTAGGTATCGGAGAAGATCAGCCTGTATGTTCATGTATTTGCTCATTAGTTTGCTTTGTTTGCCATTCACCAATATCTCACTTCACACTGACTCCATTTCAGCCAAACTTGATGCATCTCAAAGCAGTGCTCCCACATGTTCAAATTTACACTTAAATCACTAAAGTGATGAAGCTCAAGACTTTTCTCCACAATATTGAGTGACAGTCTATCTGTCCTGCCTAAGAAAATCAATCCCTGTCTCTGTTTATATGAGCCTGTGTACCACCCCCTGCTGAGACACATGCTATTTCTCCTGCACCACTCAGCCACATCATTTGTGTAATTAAAAACTGTGAAAAGAGGCCGTGGATGAGGCTGGAGGTATGGAAACAGCCTCTGTATGTATCCCATGAGAGCAATCAGACAGAAGAGACCGAGGAAGCAACAAGGAGGAGTTAAGAGTCAGGAGGAAAATGGATAACGAGGCGATGAGATGAAAGAAGATAGAGAAAGTGAATGTTAATTTGATAAAGTAGATTTTTTTTTTTTTTTAAAGCTTCTTTGGTTTGTTGCTCTTTGTGTGTTCTTTATGTTGTTTGGATATTTGCACACTCATCTTTACAGTCATCTGCAGATTCTTTAAAGCTCCAGCAAGGAGTGTTTGATCCTGCTTGTTTGTTAGTTACCAGGATATTTGGTGGAGATCCAGGTCTTATTTTCAAAGGGATTACCTCAAAACTAAAGATCAAATGGGCAGTTTTTCAGTGCCTTTCAAAATGCATATAGCACAACTATCTAACTACTTGGTGAAGGTTATGAAACTAGTGTGGTCATGGTTAACAGAAAATCTACAAAACATAAAACAAAAACTATTATTTTCTCAATTAATCGATTCATCTTTTGGTCCATAAAATATTATAGAAAACAATGAAAAATGCAGATCATAATATCACAGAGTCCAGGACACGGGATCTCCTCACAACTCCTTATATCCAACATACAGCCCGAAGAAGCCTAATGTTGATTTTGTGTCGATTGACTAATTGATATATGGACTAATCACTCGCAGCTCTAAAACCCTATCTGTCAGTAAGAAGCAGTCTATGACCACTGGGCTACCTTGTCAAAGTCACACCTCATCCCTAATGGGTTTTGAAATGTTACAACGTCTGTCTTCTGACTTTGAGACACTAAACCCAGTGTTCAAATGGCCACATTAAGCCCTTGTCATGTTCACATAAACATACTTTGTGTTAGGAATATGAACAAACAACTAGTGCTGTTGTTTTCCTCATGAGGACAGTTTCATTTCTTAATGTTGCAACACAGGGCTGTACTTATTGTCTATCCTCATGCATAGTTTAATGATGAAAATTAAAAAACTGAACTCAACTAAAACAACACGTCTGGATGACTCCACAGCCTGTGCTGGTGTATTACAGCTCAGTTTTAAACATTTTATCTTATGTCTTTCTTTGGCACTACATATTCTTGGCCAGTGTTTCTGGACTGCGCTGCCTAGAAATCGTTGTCTGTGAGACAGTGCTGATTGTGGTTTTCCATCGATGATGTTTCATTTGCTTTAGTGTATCATTATTTTTTCTGATCATGTTAACTTTACATTTCCTTCTCCTGCTTATTACAAACAGTAAATACATCACTTCATCACATCAGGTCTACAGAGCAACAGTGGGAAGAGAGGCGAGGTTTCCTGATGTGGCTTTCTGCTAAATCGTAAGAAAAGACAAACAAATATTTCAGCCTATATTAAAATGTTGCAGATTATCACAGTACCAGCTGAGCTGGAACGTATAGTCTTATGTTACAGCTCTTTGCTCCATCAGAGGGGCTCAGCACCCAACAGTATGGCTTGCGGTTGTGCCAGAGCTTCTCCCAAGTGTGATTTGTAAATGTCCAAGCGTGAGGAGGGGTGGTGATGAAAGAGCAGCACAACAGCCCCTGGGTAAGTAAAGGTTAAAAGATGCAGAAAACAGGGGAACATATAGGCTACATGTATGTTTCTCTATGTGTAAGTGGCTGTGGATAAGAGAGTCTGCTAAATGCCTTATAGCTGTGAAATGTACTACAACGCAGAGAGGAAAAAAATATAGAGGATGTAAGGATGGGAGGAGATGCCGTGGGAGCAGGGAGGAGAGGAGAGGAAAGGAGGCGAGGGAGAGGAAGGAGAAGATGGAAGAAGGCAGGGGTGAGACAGAGAGAGAGAGAGAGAGAGAGAGAGAGAGAGAGAGAGAGAGAGAGAGAGAGAGAGAGAGATAATGGTAGGAAAGGAAGAGGAGAGGCAGGGAGACGGAGACAGAGAGAGGAGGGAGGGGCGTTAATGAATAATCCATCAGCCAATAGAAAAGGTAAAGCAGCATTTGGATGTTGCTCACAAGGAGCTAAACATGTTGGTGGGGTTGTGCGAAGGGTTGTGTAAGCAAATATCAAATGTCAAAGGACAGAAAAACAAAAGTGTCATCATTCCTGTGTCCAAACCACCGTCCAAGGAGCCACACAAGAAGAAGAACACACTGTACACCATGAGCTGAGGTTGATGAAATGATGAAACAACACTAATTATTCCTAACACATTTCCTCAGGGACAAATGACGTGTCTGTTGGTGCCTTATTATAATTTATGACATTTAATTCCCATTATATCCCTATAATGTTTCTAATCATCAGGATCCCCACTGTTTCCTGTTCTGCTGCTGCATCTGTATCATGCAGCCTTTTTCCATCAACGATGGACGGAAGGATGGAAGGGGAGTTATACGGCCTTACAGGCATAGAGATGAATGGAGGAAGGGCTGGGCTAACGGCTGGTGCAGGGAAAACAAGGGAAGTCCCAGAAAAACTGCAGAGACAGAGAGAGGGAGACAGAGAGAGGGAGGAAAAGCCCAGGGAAGCCCCGCTGCAGTTTCTGTGCACAGGAGGAGGATCCACACCTCTCCTCTTTCTCTACAGCCTGCTACAGCTGCAGCCAGCTCCCTCATTAAAACTACAGCCAGACTTCAGACTGAATGCATAAACTATTTTACATTTAATCAAGTGCTGTGCTTCCTTCTGTGTGCCCTGCAGGTCCGCCTCAAGCTTACAAAGCTGAAATCATGTGAATAAAAAAAAAAAAAGGTCACACTGAAACAATAGACCACAATCTGATATAAATTAAAACACTGTCTATATTGTTACACTGACCTATTTCGAAATCACTCCTGGATATGTTGCCGAATAAGACGCATATATTCCGTGCATGCATGTAAATGCATGTGCAATAATTGAAATGACTGTTTTGTGTAGTTTGCGTTTATTTCGTTCATATGTTGTACAGAATTATTTACAAAAATACAAGATTTATTTTCCATCTATAACTGTATCCGTCGTTAAAACGGCTGGGACGCAGTTACGCAACATTAATGAACGGCGCCTGCACCTCTAAGTCGCTTTAAAGCACAAGTCGCTCGGTCAGTTGAAACGCTGAAACAGTCCGGCATCATGAACTGGAGTAGTGCGACGTTAAGGTGGACACACACACACACACACACACACACACACACACACACACACACACACACACACACACAACGCAACCCAGAACAGATGTCCTGCTCGGACAGATCACTCTGCTGCGTCGAGGTTGGCAGAAAGAGACAGGAGGAAACCGGAAAACCAGCGAAGCACTTTTCAAGATAAAAGCGTAAAGGGTGTAAATTTTGAAACAAAAAGGAATAATGTCGAAAAAGAATTTTGTCACATAATCAGATAAAATTTTAATCTCAAAATACTCTGTTTTTTTACTAAATTTAATTAGACTTCACCAATTAAGCCTGGCGTATTTTGGTTTCTGACAGAGATAAAGATGGATGATGTGCAACTATCCAATATAAAAGTAGGACCTTTTACACGAAACCCCGACCAAAGGCAATCTGTGAGCGCAAACAAGCGTGAAAGCGTTCAATAGCATGCCTTTACTTTGAAAGTTCAACCAGAAGTTATGCGTTTCTTTCCGCTGACTTGACGCCGGTCTCCGCAGCCAAGAGGCGCAGTATCAGCAGAGAATTACTACTACAACCTCACGCTGTCTCACCAACGACACAACAGCACCGACAATGTAAACATGCAGGAGCCGTGTGATATTCTCACCTGTTTATGTCACGTCTGAAATACAGGCTATGTTTTTACTCTAAGCAGAATCAGTTTAACTAAATGCGTGGTTAACTTTTTCTATCCATTCAAAAGGCAGCACAAATGTCAGTGAGTGTTGTTGATCCCAGCGCTCCCAGCTGCACGGACTCCCTCTGGGGCACGCAGGGCAGTAACGCTCATTAAACTGGGAGCCACTTTGGATGAAAGCGCCGGGCAGGAGGCTTAACGTAGTCTGTGTGCAGCTCACAAAACCCCCGCAACATCCTTAGCATTTCACTCACGCTCCTAAAAAAAAAAACTTCAGGGGAAAATAGGACGCGGAGGGGCTTACGGGAGGAAATCTGTCGAGCGCGGCGTTTATATCAAAACCAATCCAAAGATTATGGCGATTGCTGTCAAAACAGAGATTCGCATCGCATGTCTTTGTAAACAGACACATCGGTTATGACATATAATTAACGACTTTAAAGCGCTGACAACTCTTATAGAGCGAGACTCCGCCAACAGTCTAGTTTTTGGCACCACGAAGCAGCTCCACATGGTCGTACACGGCCAGAATCAGCAGCCAGTGATGCCCGCATGGGGCTATGCAAGCGCACATGAACAAGTGCGCACAACAAACAGGCACACGCTGTACACAAACAGAGTACAACTGTCAGGGAAATGTCTCTTACCTTCTGTTCTAGTGCCAGTCTGCACTCGAAGCGATGAGCATAGTATCAGATGTTAGTACGAAAGACTGGCGGAGAAAACTGTCCTCGGTGCTGCGCTCCGCCGCTGCTCGACTCTCTTTCTCTCCCTCTTTCTCTCTCGCTCTCTCTCTCGATACACTCATACTGCACACACACACACACAATCGCGCTCCCCCTCCCCGCGGTCCCTCATTACACACACACACACACCAGACGCTGCGCGCAGCCGGGCGGGGTGCCGAGGAGCGCGGTTTGGCCTCGGGGGCGCGGATGGATGGGGAGAGGGGATATGCGCCTGGGAGAGGAGAGGAGAGGCGAGATGAAGAACATAAGTCAAGAGGAGACAAAAATTGAAATGTGAAGGAAAAGGAAGGTTGAAGATGAGTTGGAGAGGAGAAATGAAGGACATAAGTCAAGAGAATACAAAAAATAGAAATGTAAATGAAAGAAAGAAAATATATGGAGGAAAGGAAATTATATGGAGAGGTCCATGGGTTGGAGAGGAGGGATGAAATCAAGGAGAGATGAAGAAAGGGTGGGGAGCAGTCAAAAAAGACAAGGGAGAAGGGGAAGAACATAAAGCAAAGGAAAGCAGAGGAAAGGAAAGAAGAAAAAAGGAGGAGAGGAAAGGAGGAGAAAAAACAGAGCAAATTGAAAATTGATTAACCAGGACTGTAACAGGATGTTCAGCAGCCAGCATGGCTCACATACTCTACAATCTTCCCTCCATTTTCTAATATTAGACATCACATTATACATTATAATACCTGACACTGTAATATCTATATTTGGATATTAGCAGCGCAGCAGTTTGACATTTCCTCAGTTAACCTAATGAGTGAGGTGGGAGTGGAGGGGGGCGTTTCACAGCCTCCAGGAAAGAGGAGGGCTGGAGGAGCAGGGAAGGAGGCATTTATCAAAGTATTGAGCAGGGCCAATTACTTAGCCAGTGTGCAACATTTCAGGCTGTGCTCTGACGATGGAGGCCGCTGACCAAGCAGCCAGGAAATACAGTCAGTCAGGCAGTCTGTCTCTACATAGACACACTGTGCTTAATCTACCTCCCAGAGTTCATCGAGTGGAGTCTATCAGAGTTTGAAATGGCTCCTCTTCTCCCCCTCCACCTCCCACTTCACCCACCAGGCTCCACTTGCTTGTCCTCCTTCTTCGTGTCAACTTTTTCGGTCATTTTGCTTTACAGTGGGCTCATAGTCTTCTTAGATTTCCTGAAATTGGCACATTTTGTTCCACTACTTCAGCTCCACATCTGGTTTATTTTCATTCATTGCTTTAGGCACAGCTCTACAGAGTCGCCTGTCGTCATAAAAAAATAGTCATAATGCAACTGAAAGTCCTTTTCAGGTCACACAACACACACCAGCAACCTCTGCAGGTACCTGGAACTTGCACCTGCATTTGTCCCCAAAGTGGAAACGAAACGAGAACCGACACCATTGTAAACATGAAAAACCTTATAGTTTAAGTTCTGTTGATCATGTTGCTTTCCTAAGGGTTTATCTAGTTTAATGGTAAGTTTATTGTTGTACATTCTGTGTATAGTTCGTGCTTTGTGTTTTTTAAATTTTGCTCTACACAATGTGAACCTCATAAACCTGATCAATGTAGGCAGTGAAAATTAGCCTGGGCTATAAGCCATAAGTATGCCACATATATATATATATATATATATATGATATCTATCTGTGCCTATCAAACTAAACATTATTACTGGATGGCTGTAAAAGACTAAGACACATTCATGATCAGAGAGAGAGAAGAAAACTAACAGTAAATGTCTGAGAGAGCAGGGATTGGCTGGATGAACCCTGAAGAACCTCTGTACCTCACTATAAATCTCACCAGCAAGATGCAGTCTTAAAATACTCACATACACAAAGACGCTCTGTGCTCTTCACACTGATATAGCTTTTGGGTCAAGTTACCAGAGCATATACCCAAACAGGATCGACTTCACACACAGTAGGTGCAACACACACACACACACACACACGAATTTAATTATACATACACGGAGTCAGAACAGGGTTTGCCTGCAGCAGTGGCTCTCCTGCTTCCATGCAGATAAATGATGTGATGTATAACATGAGTCTCGGCATGTGAGCAGCGCTGGGTGATCATGCTATTGTGCTGATTATGTAAATAAGTGCAGGCAGCGGTGAGATTTCTCTATGAATAAAATGTTTATCATTAAGTCATATCAAGGCAGAGGAGGAGAGACGCACAGACAGAAGTCACGTCTAAACAAAGTTCATCTATTTACAGTAGGCATCAGATGCAGGGTGGTGACAGGCGCTGATGTTCCTGAGGTTTAATGACTGATTGTATGTTAATGCTGAAATCTATGTTGACTGTATAATTAGATGATTATTCAGCCATTTAAGTTTCATTTAACAGTTTTTACTACAAATCAATTTTTCTTCGTAAAGAAAGAAAACATGACTTTGATCCGTGCTATAAAAGATATTTACAAACTCAGACGAATATCGTGTATTCATCATGTCTCCTCCATTTCCAGATGTGCACATCTGTTTCTACACCTACTTTTTCCACAGCAGACATTTTGACTTATCGTAGTAGGACACAGGTGTTTGCTAATAACAGTAATGATGTTCTGTTCAAATGTCAGTAAGCTGTGGTGCTGTGACAGTGAAGCAGCATGCACAGGGGAGCAGCTAAATACATTTCAGTCTCAGTCATGTTATTATTAGTTGTTCATACTATGAAATGTCAAAATGTTAGCAATTATTGCTACTTTGTTTACATTTTCTTTTGTTGATGTCTCAGCATAATGGAATGTGTAAATTAAAAGGCCCTGTGTACCCACGTAGCTTTTACTCATTCTAGCTAATCAGGCTGCTTGATCAGGCTCAGACGTTGGACTGGATACATGGGATTAGCAAACAGAGAGGTTCCAATATCATTTTTTCCTTCCCAGTACTGATTCTGATACCTGAACTTGCGTATCAGCAACTGACATCACTTGATGACATTTATCAGATTTCTGCCTCACCTTTTTCTTGACACTACTAGAGGACTGGACTCAACCCTGTCAGTGGTGGTGTGCTTGACCCGACTGACTTTATGTCTAACAATCTGTCCACCTCATGTGTGTTAGTACACAAACCATATCTTTCTTTCTATCTTTGGAACCAGAGTGGGGAAGCATTCACAGACAAAGAGAGCACAAACCAACACAGGACAAAGAAACACAGAAATACGCACATATCAGCAGCACACCTAGCATACCCAAACTCCTGTGGCCCCACACACACACACAATTAGAAATATAGCAGATTGAAATGCCAACACACACAGATGCACATGACCCCATCCCCACAACCCACTGCTACCACATAAAAAATGTGTATACACACTGACAGCATAGTGACAAGGACACAAAGACTGAGACATGTGCCTGCCCACACACACACACACACATACACACACAAAGACAGTCATCCCAAGAAGAAATGGAGTTTATGTTATATTCTTGACTATTTTCACACACACACACTTTATCAGCACACAATGAGTAGACTTGACACACACTCACACACAGATTCAAAAAGAAACAGGCATGTAGACACAGTCACTCACCCACCCACAGACACTTGCTGTTTCAGGGGAGCAGAGTGGAGCAGGAGCAGGAAAAGACAGGACGGGATAAGAACATTGAAGTGGAAACCCAACATGTCTCCTACACTATCTCTTCCGTGTTAAAGAGAAAACAGCAGCAGAGACACAGGAGACAAAAACCACCACTTCAACCTGTGGAAGAAAAAAATTCAACTCTCACATAAAACCTGAGAAACAAGATAAGAGAAAAATAATAAAATTACAGTAGTGGCTGCATAAAACAATGCTATACAAATATTTTTGGTGTAAAATTATCAATCGTGTTTGAGTTTTATAAAAAATTTAAAATATAGTGTAAAATATACTTCACCTGTGTCTGTGTAGCACAGAGTTGTAAATCATTTGGGCTATTGATTGATTGCATGATACTGAATCCCTTCACCAAGGTTTGTGTGATACTCTATGGATGACTAGTGTAAATGAGGATTTTTAAATTGTACAACCTTCATGTTCCCATTCTGAGGACAATGGCCAAAGCTTAGAACATTTAAAATCATGGCTCTACTGTACGACTTGTCTTGTCAGCGTTACTGCTCTAATGGGCTGGACTACATTACCAAATTGTTACTATACTATATCACAGTGGTTCTCAACCTGTGGGCTGTGAAGGTTTTGCAAGTGAGCCACAAATCATTTGCAAAACAGGACAATTTTTTCTGAAAAGATGTAATTTTATATGAAAAATTACATTATAGGGCCTAATGTTTTTAAATGTTTAAAATTAAATGATCTTTAAGAACACTAAAAATGTTTTTTTTTTTTTTTTTTTTTTTAAAAACTGCTTCCAGTGTTTGTTTTTTTCTTGTAATGATTTTCTTGTATCACTGTGATAAGCCAATAATAGGAACTTTTATGTTGTTGCCGCCGCACCACATCATATACTTGTTTGCTATGTCATTGTGATTGCTTGGTAAAAGATTACAGCCATGGCAAATCCAGTATCAAAATGGATAGGTGGTTAGCAAAAGGAAGAATTCATAGGAAAAAGAGTCAGGAGACAGATGGGGATTCCATCGTCATCATTAAAATAAAAAGTGCCCTGAGAATGTGTTATTTGGCCTCCGTGTTGTTATGCGATCGGATGTGGGCCATGAATTAGAAAAGGTTGGAACCATTGTTAGATCATGTTTGGAACAGGTATGGTGCCAACCTTCACCCACGCTGTAGAAAAAAAAAAAACAAAGATTTATCCGCTCTGGCATATCTGTTACTGTGCAGATACAGAGAAACTTTCACCCTCAAGACAAAAAACATCCTCCCTTTCATCTCATGAGGCTTTAATGAAGACTTCCCAGTAAACTGCCTGTAGCATTTTCAACATCTTTTCTAATTCATTGACAGAATTTTCTCTCTCTATTTATGTGCCCTCAAGTAATCTGTCACAGTCCCGTCAAACCTCAACCCAGGCAGCAGAAACCTCAGAGATGTCATTGTACAA